ACATTAAGTATACAAATGTAAGTATGTTATTATTAATGTTCAATGATGATTGTATTTTTTCTCATAATAATTTATTGTGCTATCAGGCAATACCATTTAAGAGCCCATACAGTTTCAACAACGATACACAGAATTCTAAAGAAATAAAATTTCTTTTAGAATTAGAAATTTCAAAAATTCAGTTTAGTCATCATGCCCTTTTCAGTCGACAACATGTTTTAGACAAGCAACTGCTACAACTATATTATAAGTATAGGTGTCGTCAAGATATTGCAAGAACAAAAATGTTGTCTGGAAGATTGGAGGCATTACGTAATGCCAAAGATACTTTGAATAAAGTCATGTCAGAAGAAAACAATAAAGATTTACTAGAGATCCATGGAAATCGTTTACAAAGGTTCAAATATTTCTCTTAATTAGTAATTTTTATTTTAATACATTTATTTTTTATTTAGATATAAAATAGAAATTAAAGAAACTCGAGCTCAGAGATTACTGGAAGGTAAATCAGACCGATCTTTAGTATCCAATATTTTGGAAACCTGGAGGAACTTGAAAAAATTGAGAGAAAGGCAAGGTTATATTGTTACTAGTACAAAGTTGGAAATAATAGTTGATGATCATGATAATACTGAGGAATGGGAAACAGAGTTTAACAGGTATGTGAAAAWAATGTTCATTATAGTGATTGAATTTAATATTTTGATAATTTAGGTTAGTAGCAGAGACTCTTGAAGAAATGGGAGAGAAAAATATTGAAACCAATATTCCTAAAGTCCGAGAACAGGTATTTAGTATCCTCTCAGATTCATTGAGATCGCCAGGAGAGCCAATTATTACATTTATTATGTCTAAGATTGAACCCACCCCTGAAGATTCTATTACTGCAAAAGAGTAATTTAAAATTGAATTTAAATKTGTGCCATAAGTAAAAATAGTATAGAATTTTTTTTTTTGTAGTGAGCTTCAACGAAGGTTAGCATTGTCAAAACATTCTATTTGGTTTGATGTGATATTCAATGGTCATATAGTGTGTGAATCTACTTCCTTGCCAATCAATGACAGTTTTTCTATGGATGTTAATCAGAAATTTGTTGTTGAAATTCATCAGTGGCCTGATACATTATCATTAAACATACATTGTGAAAATCTAAGTTCAAAGAATATGTTTACAAAAAATCCCATAGCAGAACTTTACATACCTTTTCCATTGAGGTATCATTGGTTAACTGTTGTTAAAATATAATACTTTTAACTATATTTTTAATTTTAGCAATACTACATTAAATGAGGTTGACATAGAAAACTTGGAGTTCAGTTGTTTTGGCAATCAGACCTTACAAAATGCCGGTGTTGGAAGTGGTGTGGATTTTAAGATATTTCCAGAAGATACGGAAAATCAATGTTTGTACACATCTGGTGAAGTTTTATGCAAGGCTGGTTGGGGTACATTTGGTGATAAAATTTTATGCCCCCCTGAACATTACTTCAACAGAATATATTCACAAAAGTAAATGATGTTTTTATTTTTTCATAAGTATAATGTGATATGTAATTTATGTAATACATTGTTTTAGTAATAATGTATTGTCAACTAAAACAGAGAAGATTTTGAGTCGGATGAATGATATGCATCCAGATCCTAATGATCCAAACAATGTATCATTTTTTGAGGCTTTAAAAGTATGAAAATAAAATTTTCTAATCAATGTTTTTCCAACCATATTGAATGTATTTTTTTTTTAGAGTGTTGATGAAGAAATGGTTTTTAAATTGAAGTCAAAATTTAGTGTTAATATTTATAAAAAAATGTTGGAATTTTGTTCAGAAGAAGAATTAGATTCTAACCCTAGACTAAAATTATTAAAATTACGTGATCGTGGAGAAATAGAATTTAGAATGGCCAAATCAGTKCCATTAAAAGAATGGCTTATACCAAAAGACATATTTAATGTAAGTTAATTATTAGTCAATCTTATATTATTTATATTTTAGATCTCTAACTTACTAAAAATATTTATATAGCTTTATTATATCACATAATGTTTTTGTTATTGGTCTAATTATATTGGCAGTTGTGGCCATAATTTAGTAGGAATTAAAATACTTTGTTTTACTATAAGCTGAGAAAAATATGTGTTATCTTATTGTAATTACTAACAAGGAGTTTTTTTTTTTAAATTTCCTTTCAAGCTGTATAGATCTGTTTGATCCATTTTTGCTTATAAATTAGAGAATAATTTAAGTTTGTTGTAGATTAAAAATCTAAAGCTTTGGTGGGTTTGGAAGGAACTTCTTTGAGTTTGGTATAGTCTCAATATTTAATGAGGAAGATACTTAGTTTAGTTGTGAGTTAACAAGATAATTGAATTATGACTATAATACTAGTAATAATAAAAATAATGATAAGTTTTTGGATATGCAGTAATTTATTTAACTAATTACATTTTTTAATATACTAATTATGCTAAATAAATTGTGTTGGACTAATAACAAGTGATTTATATTAAGGAATTTGAAAATCGTGTGTCAACATCTGAGCTTGCATTAGAGGTTGCTGGCCTTGGGCCTTTGGAAACTAGTAGAATCTGGGGACGGTATTCAGTTATCAAACTCTATGACAARATCCTCAAACAATGCAAGCTTTGTAACAGAAATAAAATAACTAGTGACATCATTGTTGAAGACACTGTACCTGACATTGGGTATGCTAATTTTAATGATAAACTTTGTAATATAATAGTGTTGGGCCATATTTAGAAATTGGCGCTCAGGGACAGTAGGGACATTATTGACATTCCAAACTTTGTCTCTCTTTTAGGCACATATTGTCGAACCTAACTTTAATTTCAATCTGATAGAACCTTATGTATCAAAATGTATAGTTACAGTTAAAAATGAAATTTTAAAAACTCAGAGGTAATTTAAAAGCATGATATCAATACGTATTACCAATTATTTTATTTCCAATAAAATATATAATTAACAATTACCTACAGCTTTAATTGATAATTATTTGATTGTAATATTAATATTTATTAATTTTAAAGATTGGATAGGTATCTAATACACTTATTTTTCAACATTGATAAAACAACTGAATAACAATATTTTGCTAAAGTTAAGTAAAATTAAAATGCTCAGAATATTTTTTATTGAACTAAACATTTTACTATGATAGTATTGAATCATGATTTTTTAATGAAATAAGTTGCAATTAACAATCATCAATTACTCAAGCACACGCTTTGTTCGATGTAATGTCATTATCAGTTTTTCCAAGGAATCGTTTACTAAAATATATTTGAGAGAATACTGCATAATAATACATTTCATCTATTAACATTTTTAATATTCCATTTCTATACAATTTTATATACAAAAATAAAAAATATATGCATTATATTTATAGTTTAACTGATTTTACYATTAACTATTATTATTATTATTTACAGAACCTTAGGTTTGACATTTATGAAAATGTTCCAGCCAAAACGACCATTACGTCCTAAAAGAAAAGAAAGAAAGAAAATACCAGCTAAGAGTCTTTCAGGACAAGAAATTAAAGTAAACCCTTTCATTAACAAATAGTTATTCAGATTGTTTATTAAAGTTATTACATATTAGTTATTATATAATTCTTCATATTAGGTTGTTATTAATGTCATGAGAGCTTTTGAGGTACCTGTGAGAAAAAACTCTGATATGATGATGGGGGACATAGCAATGGTTCCGGTACAACCTTTTATTGAAATATCCTTCAAGAATCAAACAAGTCGAACAACTACCGCTGAAGGCTCTAATCCAACATGGAACCAAGATTTACAATTGATTGTTAGGTCAGAATTATTCATAATCTATAATTAAATAATCTTATTATATTATAATTTATAGTAATAATTGTGAAGTTACTTATTTTTTTTTTTACGTGTCACTACTGATGACTTTTAAATGGTACTTTAAATTTGTRAAGGGTAAAACTGTATACTACAATTATTATTAACTATGGTAATACCATATATTTCATAGTGATTGATAGCTGACATTAATAATTATTTATATCCACAACAGCCTTTTAAATAAGATCACTATGTCAAACCTGAATGTTTGTTTTATATGATTTGTAAATATTCTTAATACATAAATTTATAAATCATACAGTCAACTAAATGTTTGATTTTTAATTTACAACAAAGACTTATTTAAATATAAAGCATTTATACAAAATTGTCATTAAGTTTTACTTCAGTAATTAAATTTAAATGAAAAATTGGTTAAATGCTTAAATATAATCATATTGTTTATGCTGTTGTTGTAATAATTAAATTTAAATGAAAAATTGGTTAAATGCTTAAATATAATCATATTGTTTATGCTGTTGTTGTAATAATTAAATTTAAATGAAAAACATTCAATACATAATAATAACATAATATAAAATAAAATAAGTATTGTAATAGTTTTAAAGTATATTTACGAGTTCAGGATTGATTTTTAAATATGCTCCCATAATTGATATGTTTAAATTAAACATTTATTAAGATMAGATTTTTAGAAATTGTTAAGTATAGTTAAAGATGATATTTTCATAAACTTAGATATTTCTGAAAATGTTAGTGTTTTGTAATTTGAGTGGAATTGTAACTAAATTTKAATGAAACATATTTTAGGTAATATACTTTAATTACTAAGGATAATATTCATTGAGTATACATATATTTTATTYAATGATAATAGTGTATTAAAAGAATAGTATTTACTTTTGTTTTAAAAATTATTGAGTGAAATATTAATTTATAACCATTTTGTTCCATTAAAAAATTGTCCGAGTAGGTATTGACAATATTTCAATCAGAAACAGAAAGGTTTGGGCGTTGGCCGATTCCTGTCAAGTGGCAGTCAGATTGCTTTTCTCACCAAGTTTACTAATTGGTTTGGCATTCGGAATAGAGCCAATAATATTTAAGTATTAAGTAGTAATTATCAACAAATATTTTATATTGCATACTTAATTATAAATACCAAAGCCATATCAATTTTAAAAGTGTTTAATAGACTATCCTTAGTATTTAAATTATTCTAACTCATTAACTTTTTGTTCAAATTTTTTTGAGTTTGTTTACGTTTTCAGAAAAATAATCTGATTTACTTTCTGATTTGTATTAAAATATGTAAGTACTAAGTTCTTATTTGAAAAACCAAAGTTGGTATAGCCATAAAATATTTCTTAAATGTTTTGAAAAATCTAAGAATTCAAAAATTATGTCCTTAACCACTCTTAAAAATCCCAAAAATAATTTAAA